TCTAGTTGTTCGTTGACCCAAAAAAACGAAATATATTTTAATGAATAGTAATTTCGTACTTATAAATCTTGTATAGCATGTTGGACTATGTCTGGAAACCTGGATATTAAATGGATGGGAGGAATATCGGAATTCAGTCCGGGTCGCGAACCACCGTCCACAGATGAAAAAGCCGTGAAGTTTAAATATGTTTCGGTTGCAGTCTATGGACTTCCGAATAGTAATCATGTTGGACTAAAGGTGGTGGGGATCGAGCCCACGAAATCTCGATATTGAATGGGTGGTAGGAATATCGAAACATCCCGCATCGAGAACCACCATTCACAGATGAAAAAATCTGTGAAGTTTAAATTTTTGAAAATTAATTTTTTTTTACATGTTTTTGCACATGAAGGCGCTATATAATTTAAAAATCGAAAATAAATTGAAAAAATTTTCATCGGGCATATTGAATAACAGCAATTTATTTTCGATTTTTAAATTTAATTTGTTTTATCAAGTCTTTTTCGAACATCCAAGGCCAAAATAGCTCGACAGCACGTCATGTTTAGATGTTATAGGCTGGTTTATTTCACCTACCATCAAATGAACAGTATACTTCTCTGTTCTCCTATATCATTAAAAAAATATATGCTTGCTTCTTACCAAATAAGCTAATCCGTACAGTTTATATAACGTACTAAAAGTATATCTATACTAATATATAAACTGTGAGTTTGATTGTTTGTTAGTTTGTTCAAATTGAAAAATTATATTTATTGGTTAGAACATATCAAGAAGGCTATAGGATATAGGAAGCAAAAAAAATATTATCTTTTATTATCAATTATGAGTAGTTAAAAAAAATATAAAGATATTTTTTTGAATTATCAAAAAAATTTCAATAGATTAATAATAAATTACATAAATATTTTATATATAAATTATAAATTGACATACAATTAAATAACATCAATTTAACATAATTTTATCTAACAGTAATAAATGCTAAACTATGTTAATTAATGGATATCGGTACAATTATCTGCACTAAATAATGTTGCAGAGTCGAATTGTTTATGGATTAATTGATTTTATTGACCATCGCGTGATTAAATTCTTAGCAGTGCGTCCTGGGTTGGAATCCCAGGGCTCGATAGTATAACGATAAAAGGATAAAAGGAGTGACGGGAGTTATTGCCCGTTCTTCTTTAGTTCTACGCCCTTGATTTGAGAACGTTAGACTCATAGTACCTACATGAATGACTGACTTTGAGTTTGAATCGTAGAGTATTAGCTAATAATAAAAGGTCTTGGGATTGATCCATGTTTATGGATCGCTAATTTTTTTTTTCTTAAACTTGTTGGACTTCGTGTGAATACCTGGGTATTAAATGGGTAGGAATATCGAAATTCCGTTCATAGACGAAAAAGCCGTGAAGTTCAGTCATGGTTCAGTTAGAGTCATTAGATTTGCGGATATTCAAAGTCAAAATACGGGTCAACAGCGCATCTCGTTAAGATGTTATATGCCTGGGGTGTTCCACCTTCCATCGAGTGAACTCCGTGCTTCTCTGTCTTCCTCGGTCATAAGAAATATTAGTTAAATTAATTTAATGATTATTTTTAGGTACAGCGTAATTATTTAAATGTGTACTTGCGTAAACAGTATTTAACAATCAAATTGGTAGATTAAAGGTTTACAAAATGAAGTCCGAGGCTAACTACAATATATCTCCCCGTGACCACGTCTGCTGCAAAATATCCCAAACGTTGGGTTGTAGTTACAATAATTTTCAAATAAGTTTAACCAATATATATATCGCGTTTTAGGTTTTTTGTTTAAAAGTGTACTACTCGCGTAAACTGCAGACGGTATACAATATATGTGTATAAATAAAATGCACAAAAACTCTGTCTCGTCACATTTAATTAATTTAAACAGTAATAAAATTTCTTAGTCATTACTAATGTACGGTAATTCTAGAAATGAAAATTAGCCTCTGAACGCCCCCCGTCTGCCCCAAAAAATCTTAATTTGATATCCTAAATGATGAATCACAGAGTGTTTGAGGCATTAGCAAACATTACCGTAATTATGTTGGGATTCCAGAATATTTTATGTGATGAATGGGCTTTGTTTCTTCCGGACTTTCGCAATAATCGTTACGGCTTCGGACCTACTTTATTCTTCAATTTTAATACCTTTTTGTATCATAATTTCCTAGAATTTGATTAAACTTGCTAGCTAGGTAACAGTTTTTAAAGTAAAGGTAAAGTAGCCTTATAATCGCAATTGTGTGTTCATCTTTTATTCTAACAAAGTAAGCCACTTGTCTATCCTGGTATGTACAGTAGTTGTTTTATTTTTTTGCAAATTTAAAGTTTTATTTTTATTAAGAGCTATTATTTTCGAAGATTTATTAAACCCGAATTGTTTTTAATAAAAATAAATTTACTAAAAGTTGCAATGCTATAACATATTCTTATATTTCTAAATTCTAAAATATTTTATATAGTATTAGAAGGCGAGATATATTATTTAAATACTGTCTATAGTTTACGCAAGTAGTACACATTTAAATAAAACACTTTATTAGCAGACGTGTCACGTCTGCAAAGCATCCGAAACGTCGGGCCGAACTTAAAAATCATTCAAATAAGTTTCTAATTAGCGTTTAAACCGAAAGTGTTTTATTAAATATATTATTTAACTTATAATTAATTTAATTTAACTACGGGATTGCTGCAAAGCATCCTAGACGTCGGTCTGTAGTTGAATTAAATTAAAATAAGTTATATATTTCACGTTGCATACCATTAACAGTATTTTGTTTAAATGCGAACTAATCGTAAACATATGAATATACCCTTTAAACACTCTCATATAAGAAAGATTAACACGTCTTACATATTCGTATCTTGTAATTCATCTCAACAACGTCGTGTGGTTAAACGTCATTAAAAAGCTATTATTACCCTCTGAAGAAACGGCTTCCTGCGTTACATACTTCTTGGATGAGATGTTTTCTTTCATACAGGCCCGTCTGGCCGACAGCGTCCCTTTGAGCGAATACAAGCTCGAAAGGTAATTTTGTACTTTATTATTTTCCAGTGGCCCAAGGGTGCTTTGTCTAAAATAAATGTTTTGAGAGCAAATCGATTTTTAATTTAGCTCTTTCCTGCCTCTAATGGGGACTTGACTTGCTTTTATCCTGTCACAACATGGGCCCGTCACAAATTCACTTGAGTCCTTTAAGTAAATGTTACCTCGCCCAAATGAAGTTACAAAAATTCCCTAGTGTTTTTTTTTTGACAGAAGGAGACAGATAAGCATCAGAAATAGATCTTGAATTCAATTGAAATGTGCTGTCGGCCTATTTTAAATTTAACTAAGATTACTTATGTAGAGAGTGGTTTGTTATCGGAATTTTGACGTTTTTATCACCAATTTAATGACCAGGATTTGAACATTATATAAATAACATTATATATATAATGTGTAATGATACCAACAGTCTGTTTTAGTAGTAGTATACAGTAAATTCCCATTTCGCCCCTTGGAGCATGGGATGTACACTTTTCTGACTGAAAAAATGTATTGCTTCCACAGGATTCGAACCCAGGACCCTAATGCAATTCTAAGCAGCATGTTTAACCATTTACTATAGAGGCGGTCAACATCTATTTTAAGGTTAATTAAAATATATTTTGGGAGATTTTACAAACGCTTGTATAAATAGTTTTTGTTTTTAAAAAAACAATAGACATTCTGTAATCACTAATTACATGTGTAACCCGCAATGCTACCAGACGTTACAAACTCTTTAAAAATTAAACAACATTTTCCGCCGCCGCCAACATTTTTTATTTAACAATTGCTTTTGTTTGTTTTAAAGTAGCTGAAATGAATGGTACCATACATTAACAAAGAACAACTGTGCATATCCACGCAGGTGATAAATTAAACCCTTTCGCGGAGGTTCACTTAAATTAGAAAGCCAACATTTCCTTTCCTTTAATTATAGACTCCGTAGATACAATAGTCTCTTTTGTTTATAACTTGAATTGGGGTACATAAGGTCGTTTGATTATTTACGAGGATAATTATTGTTTATATCGTATTTATCTTATGTATCTAAGAGTCGTATGTACGCCGTGTTAAATTCTATATTATGTACTATCTGAGTTTACGCGAGTAGTACACATTTAAATAAAACACTTTAACGGTTTAAAACGCGATATATATTAGTTAACTTATTTTGAATTTAACTAATACAATTCGTGTTAAGTACTTTATTTAAATATATAGATAAAATTAGTGAATAGGACAGACATACTTAATATTGAAACAATAAACGGGACGAACACATTTCTGGGTCCATTTAATTTACAGATAAGTAGTTGGAGGTCACAAGACACAAGACTTATGTGCCCAGCTCGATCCAAAATTTATTGGTTCCCCCGCCTTCTGTGCCCGTTTCATGCTTTACTCAATGCTTGATATCGCGAACTGCTGAAGCAATAATCTTTACTTCTATACTAATATATAAAGCTGAAAAGTTTGTTTGTTTGAACGCGGTAATCTCAGAAGCATCGCGCTGTGGCTAATAGAAGCAAAGATACAGCGGTAAATGTGAACAAAACGGGGATTTTTTCATATCTGAAGGTTTTAGATGCGTACACTGCGAAAACGGTTCAAGACAGCCAAACAATATGTATCAAAGTATGATTTCCCATTAAATAATCTAAGAAATGTCCGGGACACTATATGTCTATCTTTTAAGATTAATTTGTAAGAACATAGGGACCCGAACGACGGGACGCGACCGATGTCGTGGACAGGTTAAATTTAGAAGTAGAGGTTTGCAAAAACAAATTTGGTTGCCCAAAATAACTACTCTACGCGGACGAGGTCGCTGACTCTAGCTAGTACTAAGTAAATACTAATGTTGTTACAGATCTCGTCAGTCATCGTGGGCTGCTAAAGCAATATGAAATGGAAATGATGTCAAATCAATATGGGCATATATACTCTGTCGCCGATAGTGAAATGTGGACTATACGCATTCTTTACCATCATAAATATCCCGATACTTCAAGGAGAAGAACAATCGCAGTGCCCGAGTCTAACGGAGAATCCAATTTGTCCCTGTTATAATTTTAAAGAAGGTACACACATTGATTACTGTCTATAGTTTACGAGAGTAGTACACATTTAAATAAAACATTTTAACGGTTTATAACGCAATATATTAGTTAAACTAATTTGAAAATGATTTTTAACTTCGGCCCGACGTTTCGGATGCTTTGCAGCAGCCGTGTCCTTTGCAGTCTCCCCGTGACCACGGCTGCTGCGAAGCATCCGAAACATTCATTGCCCTTGAACATTCTTGTTTTTTAATACAGAGGAGGGCAGACAAGCGTGATGTTCACTTGATATTAGGTCGATAGAGCATCTCAACAAAACGCGCTGTCGACCTATTTTGGCTTTGGATATTCGGAAATCTACAGACTGTAACCGAAGCACGATTAAGCTTCACGGCTACTTCATCCGTGAACGGTAGTTCGTGGCCCGTACGTCATTTAACATCCAGATATCCAGACGAAGTCCTACGTGTTTCAGAAAAATTATAAATTGAATAATTAGAAACATGTTGTGCCTGGTGTGGATCGGACCCACAACCCGTCGATTATTCACCATATATTGCTACCATTACACCAACGAGTCCGTTTTTTTTTTCTAACTTGGATTTGTAGCTTTTGCGAGACTCATTATAAGCCCAGTTGAAGTGCAAACAATATTTGCTAATGACTATTGTTGAATTATTTTAAATGTGTTAAATTGTCTCTCTTAAAATTGTTGTTTAATGTAAAAATCTATTTCAGGTTTATTTCTAGAGTGCCCCAGTGCCACCCCAAATGTCGTCAAAAACGTATTAGCAAAGATAAAGGGATCCATTCAGTCTTTATCGATTTATGACCTGGAAAGTTCCATAACTGAGTTGAAGTCGGATCTATTTCCGCCGAAAGTGAAAATAATTAATTTACAAATATCCCAATCGAATATTGACACAGTAAATCAGAACGCCTTTACATCCCTCCGTGACTCGTTGGCTTCTTTAAGTATAATTTCCGGTAAATTAAAACGTATACCTCAAGAATCCTTTTCCCAATTACACAACATCGAAACACTCGACTTGCAACTCAACGAAATAAATGAAATACACGCGAACACTTTTCAAAACCTCAAATTGAATAAAATCAATTTGAAGGGTAACAAAATAGAAAATATTTCAGAAAATGCATTTCATTACTTAGAGGAAACACTGACGGAGCTAGATATCACGGAAAATTTTCTCTACATTTTTCCTTTGAAACCCTTAGAAAATCTGAGAAAATTGAGTAGTTTGCGTCTAGCTTGGAATAAAATAGAATCGATACCAAATAATTTAAATGTAACGATAGAAAGATTATATTCCTTAGATTTAAGCTCAAATGTTCTCACGAGAATTGAAAAGAATTGGTTAAACTGTGTTCCAAATATTAAAACGCTTACAGTTTTTAGTAATCAAATCAAACATATTGATGACGAAGCTTTCTATTCATTACGAAATTTAGAAACTATAGATTTAAGTAGAAATAAGCTTGTAAGTCTCTCCAAAAACATATTTCAGAGGAATCATAATATTCGTACTGTAGATCTAAGTCATAATCATCTGCATTATATAACAGGTGTTTTTGCTAATTTGAATCAGCTAACAGAAATTTTTTTATCCGAAAATAATATCTTAGAAATTCTAGACGACGCTTTTCAGAATGCTTTATCTTTGACTGTTTTAAACTTAGAGCACAATGCTATAAGATTTTTACATCCTTATTGCTTTAGTTCATTACACAATTTGACACAATTGCATGTGGGAACAAATTTTTTAAAAACGCTTCCTAGTCAAATTTTTTCAAGCAATGCTAAGCTTGTAACGTTAAGTCTCGATAATAACGAAATTAGTGAGATAAGCGAGTCAGTGTTTGAGAAATTAGAAGAGCTAAGAGAAATAAGGCTACAAAATAATAAAATAAGGCATATAAAAAGAAACGTATTCAGTCCTTTGCCTGAACTACTAGAATTGCACTTGCAAAATAATCTTATACAAAATATAGATTCCCACGCATTCATAACGTTGAAAAAGCTGCAACATATAAATTTGCAAGGCAATCACCTGACTACTATCGGCGACGTATTTCCGAACAGAAACTCGTCATTAGTATCTATTCAACTTAGCACAAACCAACTGTCCCTTTTGAAAAATAGTTCTCTGCGAGGCCAAGTAAATGTACAAATAATGTGGCTGACGCAGAATAACTTACAAATATTGACTTCCAATCTTTTTAATGAATTGTTTAATATTCAGAGGCTATATGTTAAGAATAATAGCATTGTACATATTGAAAATAAGAGTTTTATGCATTTAAAAAGGATTAAGTATTTAGATCTAAGTAGTAATAAGCTTACGAGTTTGAATAATGAAACCTTTTTTAATATTGTAACGTTGGAAGAATTGTATTTGCAGAACAATCGTATAAATCATATAGGAAAGGAAACTTTTGATAACCTGATAAAGATGAAGATTCTAGATTTATCTTACAATGAGATAATTAGCTTAGATTTCGAGATGTCATCGTTACCAGTAAAACAGATTCGACTGAACCACAATTCAATAACAATTATACAGTCGGATTCACTCAAAGCACTGCCAAACTTAAGTGATTTAGATATGAATAGCAATTTTTTAACGTGGGAAGATGTTACACAAATACAAATACCCGGCTTAAAGTCTCTCGTGTTATCTAACAACAACTTCACTTTGCTCGAAGTTACGACATTTTCACACTTGCCATCCCTCCAATCGTTGTCGCTCGAAATGTCAAATATAACATACTTGCCTCCACCAATATTTATTAAAAATCAAAACCTACTAAGAGTTAATTTGGCTTCTAACTATTTAAAAGACCTACACAAAGACATCTTTGCGTATACGACAATTTTGCAAGAATTGAATTTAAAGAGCAATAGTTTTGCCGATTTTCCACATGTCGCGTTATTTAATGTAACATCATTGGAACATCTAAATCTATGCGATAATCAACTGCGTAGCGTTGATTTTTTCAAATTCACCGGTCTACAAAACTTACGAACTCTTCATCTCTGCAACAACCGAATATCGATTTTAAACGGATTCAATTCGCCTTCTTTAAAAAACTTAGTAACGTTAAATTTAAATAACAACATGCTAACAGTTCTTCCACCGAATTTTTTCCAACATTCATTAGGCTTAAAGGAAATTGATTTGTCTCATAATTTCTTTAAACATATTCCTAGTAATGGCTTATCGGAGACCGTACTTCCGGCTTTGACTACGTTGAATATGTCGTCAAATTCACTAGTGCAATTACTGCAGACATATCCAATTAAACAATTTCCAATGCTCGAACAGCTAATAATTACAAATACAAACTTGACTATCATTACAAGTAAGGATTTCGAAAACTTTCCATCTTTGAAAAAACTAATACTCAAAACAAATTGCCTCGTTCGTCTTTCACCCGGAGCATTTTCAAAACTTCATAACTTAGCCTCGCTGGACATGAGCGAAAATAAACTGGAAAACATTCCACGAGAAAGACTTCAAGGACTATATTCCGCAACCGTATTAAATATATCGCAGAATACTATAAGAGAACTTGAAGAGTTCACTGCGGATCTTCAGAATTTACAGAGATTGGACCTCTCTTTCAATCACATTACAAGAATAAATAAAGGCATATTTCAGAATCTCCACAGTCTCACTGAATTGAATTTGAGTGGGAATTGGCTTTCGTTCATAGCGACGGACACTTTCAAAGCATTGAATAAAATCATACATATAGACCTCAGTAAGAACTATTTTGAGGTTATCCAAATAAAAATGCTCGTTTCATTGGAGACTCAAGTCAAAACAATCGCTTACGATGGTAGGTGGCTTTGTGTTATGTGTGTCCTAATTTTATAAAAAAAACAAATTGCATCAATCATGTATACGTTCTGAACTATATATATATATTATAGTTTGTTAAATGTTAATTCATATACATAAGAGATTAGATAAATGGCCAATATTATTAAGCTGAAGTGTTAGTTTGTTTGAAGTCATCTCAGGAACTACTGCTTCAATTTGAAAGTTAATTTTGTGTTGGTTGGACCATTTGTCGCATAGGGCTTAGTTATAGATTTATATAAGATTATATAAAACGGTTCTAGATACCCAAGAAATGTGTATGAAAGAATTATTATTTTTTAAATAATCTAAAAAAAAGTCGCGACAGTATATGTCTATCTTCTAAGATTAACTTCCAAGAACTGTTTTTACGGTAATACATTTTGTCGAAATCATTCGGCGAAACGTTTGCCAGCTCAGCTAGTTAAAGATAAAAAATGACACAGTCAGTCTTTGTACGTAATTAGCTACGCTATCATTAAAATAAACTCAAACACGAGATAAAAAATAAACATTTTTTCAGAAAACCCTTTAACCTGTAATTGTGAATCTCAAGAGACCTGGAAGTGGATGCAGAACCACTACAAAATCGTACTGAAAGGCAGCAGCAACTTAAGATGCGAACACCCAGAAGAGCTGCATGGTTACAGTTTTTTGGAGCTCACGTCGCAGAAACTGTGTGACGTTCCCGTCGTAATTCGTATCGCAATACAAGACATTCAGACCTATTCTGTAATAGTGTCTTGGCAGAGCCGCAATCAGAGCGGCTTAAGTGGATACCAAGTAGCTTACTACAAGGAACAGATGCCAGCTTTAGTAAGTATTGAGTAGCTCCACAAGATAATTCATGTTTAACGACATTTAAATGGGCTAAAATAATTAATCGCTCGTCTTATTTTCTACTGATGTCTATTCTCTTCGAAAAGTTTCAACAATACATTTTAATACAAATACTAAAAAAACCTACTTAATTTTGAGACCTCCTAATAAAGATTGCTTAGAAAAATATTTGTAATTAAAATAACCGATATTGTATATTGTTATAATACTGTGAATGAAAGTCACAATATAAAGTCCCTGAAATTAATGAACAATTAATAATAACGACTCAAACGTGTTGCATGAAAACAGAAGAGTAACCATTACAACAAACATTTGAATACAAAGGCTGTGCATCACTTCAATGGACCATAAAAAATATTTATGTTCCTCGGCCGTGGATATTTCGGTTGTACCGTGAATCCATTTAAATCTTCCTTTTAACAATTGTTCATGCGAGTCACCCGCAGTTTTTAACGCTGTACAAATAGGTATTTCGCTCAAAATAATGACATTTCAGATTCGTGGTAAAATATTGAACGCAACAGCGCGAATGACGAGGTTGAGCCATCTGACTCCGGGGGCCAAGTACAAGATCTGCGTCATAGCTATGGGCAACTTTGGAGTGTCGGGCGGTTCCTCGGTGCCCGACGCACGCATCGCCCCGTCATCAGAAAACATAAGTGCCCAATTGTACGGCGACGAGCTGCTCTTTAATCACCTGAGGGGCTATATGAACGACTCTCAGACCGGCAAATGCACGACGGTGACAACAATAGAAATCTTCGGCACGTCCTTAGACAGCCCCTTTTCGAACACGTACATGGGAATCGCTGACATACTGACCAGGCGGTTGAGTCTCGTCGTCGGCTGTTGTATCGGTTTCATCGTTTTTATCGTGCTCGTGTCGGCTTTTGGGTACGTGAAGACGAAGAAGCGGCCGGTCATAGCGAAGGCCGAACAACCGACTCCGCAGTACATTTCCTATGACAATTTTCCCGTTCCCAATATCGAATCTCAAGCGATGGAAATCGATATAAACACCATAACGGACTCAACGAAACCCCAATTTAAGTCATGTGATTAAAATAAAACGCAATAAACTATAACTAAATATTTGCAAATCGGGAAACAAAATTGTTCCTGTTTTTAATTTTCATTGTGCATTTAATTGGATACAAGCTTAGATTATTATGAATCGGGTTTTCATTTTATATTCGCATCATTAAGCGCGAAATAATGTACAGAAACAATGAACTTTGATTAAACTATGATAGAATTTGCTAAGCAATGCAAATTATAATGATAAGTTGTTTACGAAACGTTAAACGTTTAAAATTTAGTGCGTAAATATATTGTGATTTTATTAATTTTTTATAAGTTTAACTCTGTACATATTTTAAAAGTGTAAAACGGCAATTGTAATGATATATTTAAAATATTGTAAAGTTGTAAGTTTTAGTAAATATTTAACTCGATAAGAAACTTATAGTAAATATTTGTGGCAAAAATAATTGTAATTTAATAAACGGATATATCAACTCCAGTTTAGTGATTATAAAAATGTACCAAAAATTTTCTTATTGAACTATTGTTTTTAATTTATAACAATCTGATTACAATCTAGTATTGTAGCGTTGATAATAAAAGTTTTAAAATCTAGCCCAAATCAGTTTTATTTTGGCGTACAGAAATTTAACTTTTTTAAATGGCATGCACCGTTCAAGTGCTCTTGACTTGCTCCTTTCAAGTGCATTTTCAAAAAAAAAATCTATAATTTTTTTTTTTTTAGATTGGAAAGACTAAATGAGTACACTGGCGGGCCTCGAACCACACGATCACCGCATTCCGTATTTCAATCTTCTAATTGTGTTATGTGTTGTGAAATTCTTTCCTTTTCACAAGCACTCATCTTGCAGTTTCCACTTTAACACTTACCTATTACTGTGTTACTTTGTGGGCACGTACCACCCAAACAATAGATAATAAAATGTAAGCACCGTTCCATTTTTAAAAACCGTTTCCTATGATCAATAAGGAAGGAGTGATGTCACGTGGCCACCGCAAGACATGCCACGCGTCGGTATTTTTACCTAACCCAATTTCACAGAGGGCCAATTGTGAGTAAGAAATTTTTTTTTGAATCGACTTATCATCATGTTTTAATTCACATTTGTTTTATATTCAAATTAAATTTATCTTATAACACGCTTAATAAAAGAAGACATTAATTCTAGTTTAGTAGTTTCTACTGTTGAAATCTGTTTCTATAGAAATGAAGTTATGATAGTTTCACATTGAGAACAAATAATAATAATATATTAACAATTAGGACAATAACAAAAGAGCAATTTTGTTTTGTTTTCAAAGCACTGATTATGTAAAAATAAAATATACCATTGTGCACTTCTTCCTTATATAAATTATAACTGTCCTCCTATAACGTTAGTAACAAGTGCCTCCTTCATCTATACAAATATTATAAAACTGAAGAATTTGTTTATTTGAACGCGCTAATCTTAGGAACCACTGGTTTGAATTCTTTTTCTTTCAATCTCGTTATGTTAGATAGATCATTTATCGAGGAATGTTTTAGGCACTGTGACCAATAAAAGCGAAGAGACAGTGGTAAAAAGGGGGGAAATGTTGACGTTGTCTGCAAAAACTATTGACGCCCAATATTACTATTCCAAGCAGGCTAAGTCCTGGCTACATCTATAATTTTGTTTACAGATTATTTACTCCTGCAATACTAATCCATCCAACATATACGCTAATAAAAGTCACACTCAAACTAGGGTTAGAGGAATTGAATTCGCTGCGAAAACTATGTAAAACTGCGTTGCATATCGTTTGCGTAACAAGTATTTCTGATCAGTCCTATTTCTTTTGTCTCCGCGCGATTACGTACGATGTTCGTATTAAATTGATTAAATGAATAATTCAGCATCGCATGTCACGACCCGTTGATTCTCGGGAGGATCCATTCATTTACACCCATTTACTGAGCTTTCGTTCGATTGCAATTTCGATAAGAGACGTTATTCAAATAAAAATTTGAGCCAATACGCCGGTACTTGATACTAAAACCGGTGGGCGGGACTCATGCTTAACACACATACACTTTCCGAACACGTTTGCGGAATCAATATATTAGAATGTCGCGGTGCTGTTAACCAGGCCTTCAAAAGTCTATTTAATAATGATCCGTTTGATGTGTCGTCGCGTTCTCGTGTATTTTTAATGAGTCGAATATGTCTTGAATTCGATTTGTAAGCTTCTTACGAAACAACTAAAATATGTTCTAGTTTCAATTCAATATTTCAATTTGAATATAATTCAATGCTCGTACAACACAGTGATGTTAAATGTATCGTAGTAATAAAAGATATCCCATCTTTTATTTTTTATTGGTGTAATGGTAGCAACGTATGGCTAATAACCAACGGGTGGTGGATTCGATCCACATAGGGTCCAAATTTTTTCAATTTAGAATTTTTCTGAAACATGTTGAATGTCTTTTAAATAAAACACTCCCTCTCCCCGTGACCACGGCTGCTGCAAAGCATCAGAAACGTCGGGCCGAAGGTAAAAATCGTTTTCAAATAAGTTTAACTAATATATAGCGTTTTAAACCGTTAAAGTGTTTTATTTAAATGTGTACTACTCGCGTAAACTATAGACAGTATGTTGAATTTCGTCCACAGATAATAAAACTGTAAAGTTTAATCGATTTCCGTTTATCTATATATCCAAAGCCAGAAAAGTACAGACAGCGTATCTTGTTTGGTGGTTGATGGTAGGTGAAATAACCACAATCGAGTTAGCCTTGTGTTTGATAAAAATAGAAATAACAGGAACTGAATCCACGACCCTTATTTATCGTCATAATGAACTATCATGTGCCATAATAAGAAACATTTAAATAAATTACAAGAAATAACATATTATACAAAGATTTTTTTATTATATTACTAAGGTCAAGGCTAAAAATCACAATAATCGATAATTATGATCTAAATAATTTAATTTTATACAAAATGCACTCAAATATTACAATTCGCTATAAGAATCAGTCTTTATGCTCGATGGTACAGAAATAAAACACGGTATATTTCACATTCAAGTATATTCATGAAGCAATCAACAATGGCATGAGAATATATTTTTCATCGGCGTTTAACGATGTTCCCGAGAAACGGGTGAGTAACCGCATGTTGCGAAACATCGGCACGAAGCCGGCGGCCCTTTTGATTTCGCTTCCTGCTCTACTCATTGTGAATACTTTGAACTTTAATGATATATGGCAAACCGAATCGTAAGGAAATTATCACCGCAGATGAAAATAGCGAGGACGAACGAGAAAGGGATAAATTGTGTAACGAACGTGAAAATCTTTCAGATTCGTTCACGTGTCTTTACAAAGCGCTTCATGTGAGGTACTCGTTGGTCTAATGGTAGCAACGTATAGCTAATAACTAGTCGTAGGTTCGATGTGACATGTTTCTAAGTTTTTAATTTATAATTTCTCCGTCTGGAAATCTGGAATAGGAAATTAGGAATATCTTAATTCCACCCTGATAATAAAGCACTGTCCACAGATGAAAAAGCCCTCAAGTTTAATCGCGTTTCATTTTCAGTCTGTGGATTTCCGAATAAAGAAAGCCAAAATAGGTAGACATCGCATCGGTTAGGGCGAAGTACATAGGAAGCGAGGGGGGGTTTGTTTGAATACTGCAAGGTATTGATATATCTTTTTAAATAAAGTCAAATATTTTATATTTTCTGAAGAAATTGAAAACGTTCCGTCGCTCAAGTATAGATCTAGACCAGAAAAATTAAGGAAACTTGATTATATACCCAGGTATGAAATGCCGCTAACGAGCATTCGTATGGCAAACGTACCTGGCAGTACATGTTACCTCTGTACTTGAACGACTTGGACAGTAATACGCACGACATGCTGTTGAACAGGCCGGATAGATGCTGGAAGATTTTAAATAGCTTTTATCGATGTATGTCGTAAGGCACCGAAGCCGGTTTCTTTACCGGTTTAATAGTGTGAAATAAAATGATAATGTAAGTAAAGTTAAATAAAAAAAATAAATGCTTAGATGTTATATGGCTGAGATATTTCATCTCCCATCATGTGAACGCGATGTTTGTTATCCTCTATATTAAAAAGACAGTGTTATTTTGCGATATAACTATTATAAACGTGGCTCGAATCGAAACCCAATAGTGGCAGTAATATTCTTCGGGACAATGGAATAGCATTAGTGGGACAAAGACACTAGCACACACAGCTTAAATCGCACCCAAGAAACAATGGTACTCATATCGCCATTGTCCTTCTCAACGGTCCTTCATATTAAGCGTAGCTATTGGTATTATTATAATTGTAACACGAATCACGATTTCTATGTCAGTATATTATATGTTTGAGTTTCATAACGAATTGAATTTACTGATACAAACCGGCAAAGTGCGAACTCGCACGAGAATCCAGAAGTGTATTAAAAGCCCTCATAGATATTTTATTTCTATGTTTTGTTATCATTATATTGGGTGATGAGCTAGTGATAACACAGGGCGGACCTATAATAACACCGTATAAATTAAAACACTTAGGGTTGAAAAAAAAATTGCTACACGGGTGGGATTAGAACCGACGACATCCACAGCGAATCGCGCTGCTGCTCGAATTGTACTACACGTAATTGTCATTTTTTTATCTATATAGATTTCTATTTTTACTCGTATATCGCCATGTGTAATGACATATGAAAAATAATAAAATTTTCAAAGAAAAACATTTTTACGAATTCCACGAAGGCTGGATTCGACTGAATTGAACAAAAGTACATTTTTGAATTTTACAATTTTTTTTCTATTTTTTTCATTGCTTCTTCTCTCTTTTAATATATTTCATGCTGAAACGAGTAAATATTCTTATGTTTTCATTACAAATCTAATACAGCGTATTAACTGAAGGCGGGATTATAATATTGTAATCTACTTTGCGTTCGGCTTGCATATAGATAATATAAGCTTAGCTTGTGTTAACCTTAATAGCGCTCTCAAACA